AGAGTGGATGTAGTCAGATTCAGTGTTGGAGAAAGTTCTGGAATTTGAATTGATCCAATGGTTTTGGAGGTGGACAGAAAGGCAATACTTGAAGGCCCTAACAAAGGCTGACTTTGCTGGGATCTGAGGGAGCTCAGAACTTTATGGAGTTACTTGACAATTTAAGAGTTTGGGAGAAAAAAAATTCATATGTGTTTTGTTCTTATAAGGAACTCCAGTTCCCCCGAAGGCATCAATGAAGATGGCTGTGACCATATTGGCTTTTGTCAGATTATGAGATTAAATAAAAACCTGAAAATATAAGGTGGATGGTGCTGTTCTCTTTTCTCCCGCTAGAGGGTGCTTGAGATATTGTTGGATGAAAGCAAGATGACCACACAAACAAACATCTCAAAGTTCCTATGAAGCAAACAACAAAAAGGGAGCAATTGCAATGAGAAGCTATAGATCTGGAATTTGTTAGCAAATGTGACCTTATATATCTCATGGATTCAGTAAGGGATGTGGGTAGTTCTCTCAGCTATATACAGTAATTGTGTTCCATTTAGTATTCTTGTAATGGGTTTGTTTTGAACTGTAGTTCATGTTTCACATCCCAGCTATTAGAATATAGCCATTAGTGTGAGCTAGGTTTATCCCTAAGTGTACCTCTTGCCTTGCTGGTAAATGTCCATTGAGATGAATTAAAGAAAAAAGCTCTGTCATATAAGCTCATGGGATATTCTAAAGTCTCAGAGGAAGTTTAAGACTTTTTAACTGGAAATGCTGGGAATTTAATATGGGGCTCCCCACCACCACCCAAAGTGTGCTCTGTTGCTCAGCTGTGAACAGTCTACCCAAGGATTATTTAAAAATCCCTGGAATAAAATGAAAGTAAAATGGTTTTACAGTATTGTTCAGTCCAGTTGGAAAGGAGCACACGGCCACTCGCACTGCCAGCACAGGACTCAGATACAAAAAGGAAAGTGTGTAGGGCAAAGGGAAGAATGTGGCTCCTACAGTGAGCTTCACATCCCGTGTTTAAAAACCTTTCTAGAGACTGGTCTGGTAAGGTGTTAGACTGGAGCTTGACCTAGGACACTGGTTTCAAACCCCGGATCAACTTTGCAAACTAATGAGAAGGCCTTAGGCAAGTTTCTCCCATTCAATTTCATTTCTCCACTAGCAACATGAGAATAACAGCAGAACATCTGATGGCTGTGATAAGGATAATAAAGGACCATTAAAGCAATGAATTAACCAAAAGGTGCTATGGAAGTGAGAGATTAAAAATAAATATTGACACATTTTAGGGCTGACACAATATACTAGCCAACTTGTCCCTATCTCGCTATTGCTGTAGGCTTTTGCTCATGGAGTGGTGAGAGGCCATTGTGCCCATCACTTCAGACAGAAAAATATATGTGGCTAGTGCTGCTAATCAGCAAGCTGGCCTTTGGTATGGCAGAGCCAATTCTGTGTGGAGCTCTCTCCAGATTTCTATCTGTGCCTCTACATTTCAAAGGAACCTAAATAATTACGGTATATTAGCCGGGCATTTATTAGAGGATCCACTGTTGGTTTTCCTGTTCCTTTCCTGTCCTCTTTCATTTCCTTGTGGTACTAGTAGTGGGAAGGTACTGTATGGTAATTACAGGCACCAACTCAATAACAGCTATGAGCCCTTGGCTACACACCCACACACCCACCCACACCCATACTTTTAAAGCACATTCTCCTCCACAAATAATCATGGGAACTATAGTTTGTTAAAGATCCTGGGAATTATTGCTCTGTGAGGTTAAACTACAGTCCCCAGGATTCTTTGGGCGGGTGTGTAAAATGTGCTTTCAGTGTCTGGTTTGTAGACAATCCTTCAGTGTGCAAACGTGCTACAGCTATAAAAATCTGAGTGGTTATGATCCTGTTCCGAAGGAATCTTATTATTCATTTATTGCATGTATATCTCAAGGAGCTCAAGGTGGCAAACATGGTTCTCCTCTTCCTCATTTAATCCCCACAACAACTCTGTGAGGTAGGTTAGGCCGAGAGGCAGTGACTGGTCCTAGTCCAAAACTCTGACCAACCACTACACCACGCTGGCTCTCATTCCAGCGCTGGAATGTAAAGAGAATAATAGCACTGCTTTTCCTTAAAGAATAAATAGGCCTGGGGCGTCTTACCCATAGAGGCTAGTGGCATGGGGCGCCGGGGCACCAAGTTCTGGAGGGCACCAGGGAAGAGGCGGAGGCTGAATGCAGCGCCTCCTGGCATCAGCTCGCTGCCCTCACCCGCCTCTGCCATGCCGCGCCGTAGCAGCGCCGCGCCCGGAGCCTCTGTCTGACCTGGCCACCGCGGCACGAAGCGTCCAGCTGAGCCGGGAGGCGCCTCGTCCAGCCTCAGCCTCTTCCCCGCCGGAGGAGCCACCTCCTCCAGCCCCGCTGGCAGCACCATCCTTCCTTTAAAAAGGTGGACAACTGGGAAAAGGGGGGTGTGTGTGCTGGAGGGAACTTTGCACCACGGTGCCAGATATGCTTAAGACAGCCCTGAATAGGCCCCTCACCATTATGGATGCCGGGGGGGAAAGGTGCCTGAAAACACCTAGTCAAGGCTCAGAAAATAACACAGCTTTGCTATTTGTCTGCACTTCTCTTCTCCCATTCAAGCAAGTGTTCCCTTCTCCTGGCAGTAGCTCTTACTATCTGCCGTCTCTGAAATTAATTTTGCAAGGGAGAACTGTATTCACTTTCTGTTTCTGCTCCTCTGTGTGCAAGGCTTTTCTCTGACCATCTAGTTTCTGTGTCCGTTGCAGGATTCCTCAGCCCCCCAGCCCTCCCCTTTTGAAGACCATAGAAAGCTGTTTTATACCAAGTCAGACCACAGGCCCATTATGTTTTTATTTTTTCATTTATTCATTCCGCCGCTTGATTGTAGGGGGAAAAAACCCTCAAAACACTACAAAACAGAACAGTCAGATTATCACAAGAAGAGTTTTCAATGATATTTTCAAGCATACAGAAAGTGAAAGCAATAGACTAAAACCAATTAAAACTCAGCATCAGCTTTCTAAGTGTCTGGGAAGAATTGTCTAAACAGGAATGTTTTTAGCAGGCCCCAGAAGTGAAGGTGCCTGCCTGATCTCCATAGTTCAGTATTGTATACACTGACTGGCAGCAGCTCTCCAGGGTCTCAGGCCCATTAGCTAGAATCTAATGGGCACATAACTACATTTTCTTAGTAAATTTGTAAAAAAGAAGAACCTTATTCTAGGGCAGGCATAGGCAAAGTCGTTTTTGAGACTACAATTCCCATCATCCCTGACTACTGGTCCTGTTAGCTAGGGATGATGGGAGTTGTAGTCCCAAAACATCTGGAGGGCCGAGTTTGCCAATGCCTGTTCTGAGGCAAGTTTCCATGTCTGGTTCCAAGGCCTGCAACAACTTACACCTGGTCGCTGCATAAGGCTCAACATTTACCTAAGTCAAGTAGGCCCAGCCTCCTTAGGCCAACAGCCCCATCGTCACCGTATCCACATCACTGTTGATAAAGGGAGGTTTGTAACTAGTTCCCAATTGTTGGTGTCTGACTCTTTGTGACCCCTTCGAGCACGCCAGGCATTCCTGTCTTTCACTGCCCCCTGCAGTTTGGTCAGACTCATGTTGGTAGCTTCGAGAACACTGTCCAACCATCTCTTCCTCTGTCATCCCCTTCTCCTTGTGCCTTCAATCTTTCCCAACATCAGGGTCTTTCCCAAGGAGTCTTCTCTTCTCATGAGGTGGCCAATAAGGCCATACAAAAAACCCTCAAGACCTGAATGTGCCAGACTTCGTTATCCCTTATCTTGCCCCAGAAGGGATTCACAAACTGCTTGGTGTCAGCCTACTCACTTCAACCCATTAACACCCCTGTGAGCGATGGGATAACCCCGCCCCCAAACCCAGTGCATTTCCTTCCCACATGAACTTGATTAATTGCAAGCTCATTCGCAATCTTCCAGCTGGCGATAAGCGCCACCAGGGGTTGGCGGGAGTTTGGATGCTGCTTCATGTGTGTGAGAATCCCCCCCCCCCGCTATGCCTGGATCCTCGAAGTGGGTGGCCCATCTCAGCCAGCCTGTGCAGGAAAGGTGAATGGAGTGGGATAGAATTTCGTCCCAGAAGTGCTACAGAAAAAAAAGGAACCATATGTGCATGGAAGGCTGGGCTGGGCAGACTATAAACGGAATTAGCATCTGAGAGGATATGGCCAATCTAAAGCGTTTTTGGAAACAGATGTGAGAGGCGAGGAAACGGCACATTTTTATTTCGCTTTATCAAAGCAAAATACCCCAGGCTGCCAGATGAGCACCTAGAAAGCACAACTCTGATCACCAGCAATCTCCCATGTAAGGCACCAGCAATCTCCCATGTAAGGCCCTGCCTCCTGTTTTTCCTCCCCGCCAAAGGGAAGGATTCGTAGTGAGCTAAGGAAGAGAAGGAGCACCACCACCCACCCCTCTCCCTCTATGTTTTGGATGAGTTCACAAAACCCAAGGGGCCAGTGTGGTGTAGTGGTTAGTGTCTTGGAGTTATATTGAAGAGACCCAGGTTCAAATCTCCGCCTGGCCATAATGCAATGGGCCAGTAATTCTCCCTCAGCTTCAGCTACCTCAGAGGTATACTGCTTTGACCTCCTTGGAGGGAAAATGTGAGATAAATGCAAACAAACAACGGGGTGTTGGCGAATGGAAGACTAGAGGCTCATGCTCATCCTCCAGTCATTCCTAGTCATTCCTCTTTCTGGAGTTGCTTTCCTAGGTATTGTACAGCTGCTTAATCACCTCGTGTGGCCATCACTCCGCTTTCTCTTTGTCCTTGTGTGATAGGAGTAGGGAGGAGTTTGTAGCAGCAGTATATCCTCCATCACCACCAGACCACCGATTCCGTCTTGAGTGAGGGGTGGCTCCCAATATTTCCAGAGCAAAACCTTGAGGCACCCCATGGGCCCAAAGAGCAATAATGCCTCCATGGCAGAAGCTGCTAGCTATGAAGAGAGGAATATCAGGATGCCTTAGGCCTTGTTCTTTGTTTGAAGAATATTTGAGGAGAGACCTTGAAGTTGCCCTTCAGCACCTGGACAACAGGCTAACAGGTCACCTGGCCACACCCTTCCCCACTGTGCTGAGATGGACTGTGTTTCTATTTAAATTATAGTAATTACTTCTACATTTGCCTCTCTATGTATAAATGAGCTTAGGCAATTTGTATACAAATCTGTGCCCTCCTTTTGCCCTCTGCTTGGGTATGTGATGCATTTTCTTGGGGGGGGGCAGCAATCTGTTATGTGGGCACCCAAGGATGGCTAGAGTGTGCTGCTATTGGGCCAGGCCTAGCTGGCCAGGTAAACTGCAGGGCAGGGCAGGCAGAGAATGGCGAGACAGCCAAAGGCTGCATCTCCTCCTCTTCCTCTTGCTCTTCAGAGCTCCCACCACAGCAGTTTCAGAAGCTTCAACCAGTGAACGGTGCCCCCTCTGGAAGCCCAGTCAAGCCACCCCAGTGCTGAGTCTGCTGATCAGTCTGAAGCTCCCAGTGCGACAGGAAGGAATCCAGAATGATCTTTTAGATACTGTTTTCTCCTTGTATCTTGACAGGAAGAATAATGTCTCTCCGCTTCTTCTCCCAGATCAGAAAAAAAAGCGAGGCTATGCGTGCACCGGCAGTACCGCCATGTTATCAACAGCAGAGAGGGGCATTCTCAGACCACTTCCAGAGAACTTGTCAAGGCAATTAACAATTGGCAGAAACATTCATGCTTGGCATTAAAGGCCCTGGCGCTAGTTAGGAAAGATAATTTATTTTCTCAGGATCTCTCGCCAGGAAGTAAGCCATAAACTCCAAAGCCACATCTACTTTTCAACTAGTGACAGTGGAGAATATTTCAACTTTATCTCCTTAGCTATCTCCCTTCAACTGTTCTGTGGCTACAGCCTCCCATTACTGCTCATCCGGACTGCATATAGGATTGCTGCTGCATTCTTTGGTAATTGCATTGGATAATTCTAGAATATTCGGCAAAAATACTTCTGCTCTCTTTAGTCCTTCTTTGCAGTGATGTGGCTATAAATCTGCTTTAAGTTGTTAGCATGCCTTAAAAAAAAAATCAAGCAATTATTTGGTTCACTGTTGATCCATTCTACTTGTGTGGTCTACCAGTTCCCACCAAGATAAGTTCATGAAGTTGCATAATTTGTTTTGAGATTGATCTGTTTATCTCTTCTCCTAGCTTGGCAGATGCTGGCCAAGCCGGCAAGCCCTTAAGTGAAAGATGCAAATGGACAAATGTGCTTAATCAGAACCCCTTTAACAGTCATGTTGTTACTGTGTGGGCGGATGGGTGTTTGCAAATGCCAGGCCGAATACTTAGCAAATTCCTTTCCCCACAAGAATAATTAATCAGTGGGAACATTTTCGCCACTGGACATTGTGAACTTTAGCTCTGAGACTAGTTATTAGTCATATTTTCTCCCCCTTTCTTGGCATGATAATTTCTGTGCAAGTCCCACTCCGAAAATCTCTCACAAGGGTTCAAGTATTCTAAAATGCATATTTCTTGGAACTATTGTAGCTGACCTTGCAAACGACCTTTGTTCTTGACAAAATTGCCATGTTTTTTGTAGACAATGTACGTATCCGGGGGTGTAATGGACACAGGAACGCGAATATATTTTGGAACAATATGGACTCTCAGAAAACACGCAAGGGTACTAAAACTGCCTTAAGTTCCAAATAATAGGAATTTCTGCCTGGTGAGTATAAATTTGTAACCAGTTTTGTGTTTTCATTTTCCTCTGGTATCTCTCCCTCTCTCTTTTGTTGGGGGATGGATGTTTTGATTTAAATGGTTCCTTTTCCCATTTGTTAATGGGGAATTATTCCAGAGAACGGTGCCAGAGGCCACATTCCAGAGATCAGTCAGTCTACTGCTTCATCCCTATCAGATGTGGTACACCAAATATCACAGCAACGCTTTTTCTCTCCAGCGCTGGATATTCCCACTTGAGTGTGTAGTGAGACAACCACAAAATGTTAGCTAATGAAACACAGACTTAGGGGGGCGGAGGGTGGAGCTGGGACAACACTGGAAAGGGAGAACGTGTATCCTGACTGATGTTTCTCAAATGGGATGACAAGGGCTTCCCGCAGTCCCTGGAGCCCTTTTGTGTGTGTCTTGTGCTGAGTGCCATTGGGAATGCGAAAGCGCTGGGAATTCTTCTGCCCCCACAGACTCTGGTAGCCTTTCAGTGGCATACAAACAGATGACGAAGGGCTGGCCTTTTCATCTCAAAGATCAAGAAAGAACATGAAGCTCTGAAGGCACAATGTGAGCAATAAACATCCTTCGTTACGAAGCTGAATTGAAAAGTAGAACTGACACCTTTCTTGTGTGGCCCTTTTCTTGTATATCATAGCATGGAAAATAAACAGGTGCAGTGTTTACAACCACATGTGGAAAACTCTGCCGGTGGAATTTCTGAGTCTCATTAAAATCACTGGTCATCGCTGGGTGGCTGAACGGACCAAGGAGGTGGGCCATATTTTGATTGTCTTGACAATGAAGTATTGAGAGCTCCAGGAAGGGAACAGAAAGATAGTTCACTTGCTTGCTCGGTGCAGCTGTCCTGTGCACCTTTCTGCCCAGTGCCACTCAGCATGGAGTCAACCAATCTTTTTCATTATTTTCCCCATTTGTTGCTACACAGGGGGCCAGAGAAATGCGGCTTGCTCACTGAAGCCACCATTCAGCTCTGTAATGAATGCAGCTCACCATCCATGGTGCCCCAGTAAGTCAGGCAGGGCACTGAAAGAGGGTGCCCAGGATCCTCACAAATGTGGTGTCAGCGCTCAGGGCTTCAACAGGATTTTCTGGGCCCATGGAGATTGCAGAAGAGGACACTTGCAAAAGAGGACACATATTTACATACAATTTGCAAATGGCTTTTTGTCATGTGCATATTTGTGTCATCCTTCACAAGTGTAGAAGAGGCCACAGGAAAAATAAATCCCTTACTATGACGCAATAAAATGTCTGACAGACAGAATGTGAACAGATGAAGCTTTTCTAATAATTATATTTCTATATTATGAAAGGTTTAACCAGTTGAACTTCTGCCTGCCACATAGTTGGTAAAGGTACAAGAACCCTGTTTCCACCAACCCTAAACCAAAGTCTAGGCTGCAATCCTGTACCCACATACCTGGGAGCAAACACCATTAAACACCAAGAGACTTACTTCTGGGTAGACATGCATAGCATTGTACTGTATGTTAGACATACAGTGAATTCTTGATCAGTGCATGGACTTTAACTCATGCACAATAGACAATAAGCCTCTGGTGGAAAGTTTTCACATTTTGCCTTTTATCTTCATAAGCACTTATTTGTCAACTTTTAAATTTACCTGCTTTTAAATTTATTAGCATTATAATAATAATTCTTTTAGGGTGCAATTTGATGAATGTTTACTCTTTGGTGAGTCCCAATATGTTAGCAGGGCTTACTTCCAAGTAAGTGTGCATAGGATTGCAGCTGAAGTTTATTTAAGCAACGTGTTCACAAAATAGTACACACAGGTTTAGAGATGTGAAAGCTGTTTATTTAAAACGATATATTAAATACCGTAACTCTTTTTATTGTGGATGACTGGAAGATTCTGTTTTTATCATTCTCCTGAAAGAACTCTAAAACCTGCTTGCTCACAACATGTTCATGTCGGACTCTTAAGAGTAATGCCTATTGTACTTCGTTTTCACACCCTTGGATTGCTGTTTCTTTTGTTCTTTGCTGCTGGGTGCTGTTTTGGTACAATATCAAACAATTCGTTGATGGAAAACAAAATAGAAAACTACAGGAGACATTTCACCACAAATATGGGCAAGGGGAGACGCACTGGAAAGTTTGGAGTATTGGCAACACTGTGTGACATCATATAACCTCAATGCAAACCAATCGGAAAGGTCAATGAACAGCGACATTGTAGAAGCACCATGAGAATTGTGTACCTGTGTGTGGAAATGCAATGAATGTGCAATTAACTGGTCATCTGGAAGAGCCTTTAATCTCCATAGGCTACCTGCAAGTCTGAGCATATGCCCAGGGCAATCTGATAAGAAGAAAATGTTTATGTTTGTTCATAGGAACCAACTAAAAAGTAAAACTTTCAGTTACTGCAGTGGTTTTGTTTTGTTTTTGTTTTAAAGTATTTTATTAAGGGTTTTTTTGTTTACAGTATAAGTGTAATGCCTCGTATTCCCCCCCCCCATGTAACATTTTTACAAATCCGTTTCATTTGTTGAGGCATTAGGGGAGAAGAAAAGAAAAAAGAAAAAAAAGAAAGGGGGTGGAGGGAGGGGAGATGGATGGGGTGGGGTCGGGTGGCGGTGTTTCTATTATGCTTAATGTATGTAGAGTTTGGTGTCAGCGTTGCTTGTGTTGTTCACTTGTGTTCCTTTGGTGGTGAGAGAGGTTGGGGTTGGCCTAGGGTGTGATTGTTTGTTTGTGATTGGCTGTGGTGATCTTTGTTTTCGTATGTGAGTGGGGTGGGTGGGTGTTTTGGATCAGGTTAGCCATATTGATTTGTATGCTGTTGGCGGATTATTGTCTTTGTCCTGTTGGGCTGTGTATGTGATAAAGGGGAGCGTCTACTTCTGTTTGTCCCCGTGTCAGTTTCAGTTTATTAGTTAATTTTTCTAGTAGGGCTGTTTCCCATACTATTTGGTACCATTGGTCCATGCTTACTCCTGACAGGTCTCTCCAGTGTCTGGTTATGGTGTTTCTGGCTGCTGAAAGTAGGTGGGTTATGAGTTCTTTGTGGTGTAAATTGGCATTGTTGTCTTGTTTTGTTTTGTTTTGAAACCAATCTGTTTGAACATGAGCTGGAAACAGAGGTTGTTCCATGGGGGTGTGTGGAAGCAATGTATTCTTTGCCACTGATTGCATCGTAGGTGTCATCTGCTCTCGGTGTTTAGAATTTATGCATCCACATGACTACTACTGTGTGCTAACAATGATTTCAGGTACCATTGCTATTGTTCTGAGTTTGCCTGTACATGACTTAACAATCCTAGGAAGCCTCTAGGCAGGAATAAAGGGGCAGGGAGAAAATGATGAACTAGGACAAATCTGGGCCTCTCTCTTTCTCTCTCCCCACCTCCAAACTCTCCTCCAGGCCAAGGGAATGGAATTCTTTGCAGGCTAGAGCAGGGATTGTAGCTAGGCAAAGTCCAACATGCATCTGGCCGTTGGAGCTGATCTGCCCCTCATCTCTCAACTGGAGCGTGAAAAGTGGAAATTATTTGATGAGCCAGCAGCTTCTTCTCAATCCCTGGTTAGGTGGTGGGGGAAACCTCAGAGTTAATTGGCTTCAAAAATCTGACATGCATGAGGACACAGGAAGCGCACCAATTGCCAAAGAAAGGGAGCAGCCTTAGAAGAAGACATCAGCTAGACATACCAATTACTCCAAAAGCAGGCAGCCTCATCCGGCCCTTCAGGGCATTCCACCAAGTTTTGCTGCAGGAATGGTGCAGGGGGAGAAAGGACTTTATGGAAATATAGATCACTGGACAGAGCATCAAACGCATTCTTCTCCCGGCTAATCACAGTGCCGGGGAATCCTTTCACTGAGAGATTATCACATAACTTAGGATAAGCCACCCAAGACCAATGTCACCCACACTGAGTCAAAACCAAACCAAACCTTGGTTTCAGAAGTGTGTGGGATTGCTGGCATAGAAGAAATCTCTCCTGAAAAGGTCAGGGTGTATTTCCAGAGATATTAGTTTTTTTCTTCCATACCCAGGTAATCCGCATGGCCCAGCTTCTCTTAATACTGCCCACAGACAGCTACTGAGCACATCTCTGAACACAAGGGACACAAGAAAGAAGCACGAAGAAAACGCATCCAGTCAGTCTAGTCTGAATTTTAACCTCTGGGCTGTTGGCCAGAACTGAAAAGCACAAAGCCTGGCAAAGATCCACCGGGGCTGTTTTTGCTATTAATTAGTATGTGGGTGCTTTCATATAGCAACCCTTTATTTAAAAAGTACACGTGATTAAGGTATCAAGTGGTGAGGTGGCTGCATTTGTAGTGCAGTATAAGTGTGTGCTATGGAAATGTTATGCTGTGAATGCAAATACATGACCTCTGTGCTGTTCCATCGAGTTCAACACCATTAATTAGAAAGAACAATGGACTTCGTATGTACTCAGGAGCTCTTTGTCCTTAGCGCTCTTTTTTTATTTCCCCTGCGGGGCAGAAAGGAACACTGACTCTCAGTGGATACTGCTGCTTTCCTTCTCTCTCCACCTCACTCTATGCCACTCAGTAGGGTTGCATGTGGACAGTATCCTGCTGCGTCTCCTTGTGCAGAACTGGGAGCAGGCTTGGCAATTGTCCTGATTTCCCCGGGAAGTCCAGAACATCACCATGCTGCTGCGAATCAATAAAACATTCTCTTCCTAGGAGGGGAATGTCTTGAATTGTAATGGCACCATATACAACAAGGAGATACACTCTGTGCTTCTAAAGTGGCACAGCAAATCTCCCATCAGAATTTTCCCTTAAGCTTTTTGCTTCACCTTCATCGCCAAGTGAAAATAGGGCTCCAATCCTATAGAGATTTACCTGGAACTAAACTCTTCTGAACGCAGTGCTGACTTCCACATAAACCTGCATATGCCCTGTATGTTCACATTTGCCAAGGGAGGAGCCATGTCAGCTTGCTGCAGCAAAAGCAGCAGTGTCTTGTGGCATCGCAAAGACTAACCAATGTGTTGTGGCATAAGAGTTCCTGGGCTGCAGTTTACTATCAGAAGCATGAAACTGTCATCTGGAGCTGAAGTATATCTGTACATGGAAAGGAGCTGTAAATGGTAAGGTAAGAAGGAAATGAAATCTAGATAGTGATAATTACATTGTTAATGGTGGCCATTCACACACAGAAAAGCTGTTGATAACACTGGCCACCTGATACTGGTAAGCCAATTGGCACATGCAGTGTGACAAAAATCCCTTATCCTGATTCAAACCACAAGCCATAGTATTTAACTTCTTGAAGTAATTTAGCAGTTTCACATTATGGTCTCCCTCTAAAAGTAATATGCAATTGCATGTTACTTGTAAGCTGACTTGATGGGATTTATATCCTGAAAGGTAGGATAAAATAACTGTAATGAATAAATGTATGCATTTACGAAGTGTGCATATTTTTGGATATGGCCATTTCTGATATCAGATTTGTGTCCATTCTTTTGTGTAGATCTGTTTGCCCTATGCAGAATGCAGAGGGCCCATTGTGGCAGATAATGCCATAAATCACATTGAAAGAACAGGGGAATGAACGGCTGAAGTTGTGGATGACTTATTAAGTTGTGTGATTGTGTTGCCAGACACTTGCAGAGTGAATTAGTGGAATGTCAACTAGTTTCTATCACATGTGTTAAT